TCCCTGCCCAGGGCAGGGGGGTTGGAACTCGATGATCTTTGAGGTCCCTTCCAACCCAAACCATTCTATGATTCTATGATTCTATGATTCTCAGGAAACTACAAGGGCACATTGAGATGAAAGGACCACAAGCACAGAATCAGCAGAAAGCTGTGGGAAGCTTGTTCATCCATCTCTGTTGGTCTCGTTTCAGTTGGGGTGGCAAAGAACTGACAGATGTGGGAAAGGTGAATAGTTTGTCACTTATTTATGACTGTGCAAGACAGGCTGAGGTTTTGCCCTTAAACAGTGAGAGAAGCTCCCTATGGAGTGTAATCTCATGTGAGGTTTCTTTTCTACATAGCTGTTCCAAATGAAACTTAGGTTTTTCCTTGTACCTCATTCATCACTGGTGATGATAAACCTTTCAGTTATTTCCAGTAAAAAAAAGCTGCCTTTAGGAAAAGGCTAAAGAGAACAGAACATCTGCTAAGCATCCCTAACTTCCATAGGAACTTTGGACACATAGCAACTGATCTATGAGAAGTCATTCATTTGTAGGCTGTCAGCTACTCCATGACTCAAACCATACAGAGATATCACAGACTGAGGTTGGAGGGGAAAATGTCAGCAAAATCAGACAAAACACAACCTTAACAGTGGAGCCACAGGCAGTGCTTCCAGACCATCCTACCTCGGCTGATGTTTATAAGGGTGGCTGTGGGTTTCATCAGCCCCAGCTCCTTTTTCCCAATCAGTTTGCGAGTCTCAGGAGTCAGGTTCACAACCACCATAACGAAGTCAGATTGCTGCAGCAGGTCTGCCATCTTCTCACAGTAGTGGGCACCAACTGCCTCTTCCTCCTCCTTTCTTCTGAAGGAAAAACGCACACCACACCCCCAAATTGACACCAATCTTTCTAAATGGCTTTAACAACCAATCAGCCCCAGGAGAGATCTGGAACAGCAGAGATCGAGAGGTTTGAGGCCAAGGTAAAGGAAAAAGACATTGGTAGGTACAGAGTGTGGAAGGGAGGAGGGAAGGATGCGGGCCAGAGGGAGCAAGAGGCTAGAGGGGTGGTGGGACACTGAAGGAGTGATGTATGGGTGAAAGCAAAGCACGTTGGTGATATTAGGTATAGGGGACAGAGTCAGACCCCACTCTTCTCTCCTGTGTCTATGCCAATCCCTGTAGGGTCTCTCCTTGCCTGACAGGTGAGTTAGGACTTGAGGTGGAAAAGGAATGAAGGGGAAGTGAAGAGTGATGAGCCATCTGGCTGGGCTGAGGAGAGGGGTGACCAGCTGGGTGGGCCAGGGATGCTCCCAGAAGCCTGAAGAAGAGTCTGGCAGGGCAGGGGACACAATGAGGGCATTAAGCCTTGTTTGCTTGGACAAGTTCTTCACAAAGGTTACACAGCTCGTGTTCCAAACTGCTAACCAGGGCAGAGTGAGCACAGGAGGGAAGGGCGAGCTGCTTCCCAAGGGAAGCAGTAGGGAGCCAAAGCGAGGAAGCGGTGGCAGGCAGGTGCTCCTCAACTGTCACAAGTGGCTAGGAAGACCAGGGAGACAGAGCAGAGCTGTGGTTTCCTTCACTGCTCCTGACTAATTACATGGAGAAACCAGATGTTTTTACCTGCGGTTCCTGTTATGGTACAGGATCCTCATGTTGAAGGCTCTGGCCCTCTGAGCCACTTTGTACCCAATGCTGCCCATCCCGATGATCCCCAGCGTCGCCCTGGTTACTTCCACTCCCAGCCAGTCAACAGCAAAATACTTTGTGTCTGGAGAGACCGCAATCTGGCAGCCTGAGTGTGAACACACGATAAATGGGTACAAACTGACCATAAATGTAGGCTTAGGGGGAAAGAAAAAGTTTCTAACCAACACAGCAGCACCCATGGAGAAACCAGATGTTTTTACCTGCGGTTCCTGTTATGGTACAGGATCCTCATGTTGAAGGCTCTGGCCCTCTGAGCCACTTTGTACCCAATGCTGCCCATCCCGATGATCCCCAGCGTCGCCCTGGTTACTTCCACTCCCAGCCAGTCAACAGCAAAATACTTTGTGTCTGGAGAGACCGCAATCTGGCAGCCTGAGTGTGAACACACGATAAATGGGTACAAACTGACCATAAATGTAGGCTTAGGGGGAAAGAAAAAGTTTCTAACCAACACAGCAGCAAGGCTCTGGAGCATCCCTTACAAAACATACTTGCTAATTGTGACCAGTTTATAGAAGGGCCTGGATGGTGCCATTCCCTTCAGTAGCCAGGGATGGAACCAGTGACACAGAGTGGCTCCCAGGTGGATACTGTGCTGGGAAGAATGGCTCCTCAGGGAATTAACTCTTCCGTGGCCACAGTATTTTCTTGGAAGTTCAAAAACAGCTTCTTTGACACTTTCCACCCTACAAGCATTGGCTTCGCTTTTTTTTTTTTTCCCCTGGGGTAAATCTCACCATTTCTCTCCTGGATCACAAGCCAAAGCAGCTCCACTGCTTGAGCAGGGGTGACAGCTGCAAATTCCAGCTCAGTCAGGGATCTCTACGAGTTTTTATGGAAAGAACTTGAGGTCCAACATGATGCAATAGGGAGAAAACATCATGGGGAAAGAGGTGCTATTTCATGCTCGGGGTGGAGCAGTGGTGACAGAAACACTGTGAGTCCCTGAAGACAGTGGCAACTTCTTGTGGTAACCTCTACTGACACCTTCCTTCCCCTGAAAGGCATTGCGGAGCAAGGGCATGTGGGGAAAGGACCTGGACACAAAAGGACACAAACTAATGTTGGTACAGTTTGCAATAATTTTGTCATAAGGATTATCAGCTATTTCAATAATAATGTTGATGCTCTTCTGGAAATACAATCCATTGGCAGAAGTGGGAAAAAAAAATGAAGAGTTATACTAATTACTGCTCTAAAGATGGGGATATAGCCATTCATGCTTTGTACCTTCCTGCAGCTCCCAACACTTGCTCCAAGGGGAAATGGAGAGGTGGTGATATTTGATTTGGATGCATTTTGTATTCAGTTTTTACAGCTATAAACATCCTACCCAGTGAACAGCCAGAGGAGAATTAAGCCCCAGACATTATTCCAAACAGGATATCACAAGTGACTTTAAGGTCCATAATTTAGACAAAGGCCTTACTCTTGTCACCATTGCCTTAAAAAGAAGAGGGACAAAAGAAAAGCAGAGACCTCTGAAAATGGAGTCCTCAGATTTTTTTTTTTCCCAAATGTAAAAACATCCCAAATACTGATTTGCACAGATCATCTGTATCATAGTGAAAGTGATATATGCCCAAGAAGTAGCTAAGATCCAGGAAAATTTAAAACATTACCTTCCACTAGTCTTCTGGCAGAGGCCAGCATCAAAGCCACTCCTATGTCTGCTGTTGGGTCCGCCACGGCATGGGGGGTGTTGGTCACTTTTACGCCAAAGTTAGAAATCATTTTCAAGTCTAAGTGATCAACTCCAACCCCAGAGTTTCCAATTACCTTTAAATTAGGCAGGCTTTCTAGCAGCTCCCGGTCAATAGTTGGCCTGCACTCAAACACGAAAACAGATTGGATTTTTGTGCTCATTTCTTTTTTGTTTTCAAGAAATTCCTTCATGGTGATAAGCCGAAAGTGCTTTTTCAAAAGTGCTGCAAGGTCTTCTAGCACACCATAAGTTCCTCCTATATCCAGAATCAAAACGCCCGGCAACTCTTCTTCTGCCATGACCTGCAACAGGGGAACAGAAGGAGATAATCCTCTGTTTAGGGAAACACTCTTAGAGGGGTGATGCTGTAGTCATCATTTAAATTCACATCTGTAAAACAGCAAACTGATGGAACTCCATACTGCTTTTAATGACACAGAATAAATCCAGCCATTTGGTACAAGCGTGGTACATTAGACAACTTCCCAATATTTTCACTAAGTGCTGGTTTAGACTATAACACCAAGGAATATCCATCCCCTTAGATCTAAATCCAGTCCCACAAAGTGTTCTTCTCAAATAGTGTCATTTTAGTCCTGAATCAATATTGATTTCATACAAATCTGGGAGCTTCTCAACCTCATTCACAAATATATTTATATAAACGGTGGTATGAAACAGAGGCTACTAGAAACTCAAAGTTTCTTGCCTATTGATTATGGCTGGTGAAGCTGCAGGTGGTGTAGGGAGGCACCAAGGCTCAGATGGGTCTGACAAACATGTGTCAGGAATGGTTAGGTCTAACAAAATTGCACAATGAAGGGCCATCCTTGGACAGCTGCTGCACTGCTTGCCTTCAGTGTTTTAAATATCCAGGCCCATACCTGAACTTATTCCACAAAATTTAGCACACCCATGCCTATATGCTGAACCAGAGGTGATACTACAAGTCCCACTGACTACACAGTCCTTCATTCTAGAACTTTACCACTGCCCACACAGTTCTGAGCCCAGTTCTCTCCACAACACCCACACAAACATTTCATATCCTGCAGTAAGACAGGGGGCACCACGGCCAGCCACATGCCTAATTATAGGGGAGAACTGCGGCCCTTATTGACAAAAATGGTAGCTGAAGATTCACTACATGTCTTAACAACATTCCTGTCTAACTTCCAGCAGTGTGCCCAAGTGGCCAAGAAGGCCACCAGCATCCTGGCCTGTATCAGGAACAGCATGGTGAGTAGGACTTGGGAGGTGATCGTCCCCCTGTACTGGGCACTGGTGAGGCCCCACGTCAAGGGCTGTGTCCAGTTTTGGGCCCCTCACCACAAAAAAGTCATTGAGGTGCTGGAGTGGATCCAGAGAAGGGCGACAAAGATGATGAGGGGTCTGGAGAATAAGTCTTATGAGGAGAGCCTGAGGGAGCTGAGGGTGTTCAGCCTGGAGAAGGCTGAGGGGAGACCTTCTCACTCTCTCCAACTCCCTGAAAGGAGGGTGTAGAGAGGTGACTTCTCCCAAATCACAGGCGATGGGACAAGAGGAAATGGCCTCAGGTTGCACCAGGGGAGGTTCAGATTGGATATTAGGAAATTTTTTTACACGGAAAGGGTTCTTAAGCCTTGGAATGGGCTGCCCAGGGAAGGGCTTGAGGCACCATCCCTGGAGGTGTTCAAAAGACGGGTTGACATAGTGCTTAGAGACATGGTTTAGTGATGGTTTTTTATCAGAGTTAGGTTGATGCTTGGACAGGATGATCTTAAAGGTCCCTTCCAACCTAGACAATCCTATAATTCTATGATTTCTACAATTCTGTTTGCTGTCCTCCACTTGCTTTAGGTCTCTATCCCGTACTGTGTCCTAGACTTGGTTGCAGGAAACCTGTGCTAATGGCATCAGAAGTTTTCCACAGCAGTATGCTGGTTTATTCTGGGCAGGAACTTCCTGCTGCTTCAGTCCTCTCGCACAAGCCTTCAGTGAGTAACCAGAATTCAAACCTGTGACAAGAAGGCGCCATTGCAGCCTGAAAGTTTCCATCAAACCATATTTACCCTTGTCCTGAAAAAACTTGGGCTCATCCTAACTGCATATTGCAAGGCTCACAATCTTGACTCCAGTCAATACTGCTGTATCCTGGCCTTGACCTGCATCCCTGTCTCCTGTGGTACATGGGCTAGAAGGGGCCTCCTTGTTAGGACAGGTCTGCAGTTCACCACGAACAGTGGAAGTCTCCAATAACACTAACCAGTTCTGAACAGCAGCAAACGAAGCAATGAGATGAATATTACAACTGTATGGCAAAAGAATATCACGTTCTTAAATATATCTCATCTATTTCTTGCCAACTAGAAGTATTTTGAACCCTGGCAGCCCCATACGGTTGTGAAAACTGCAAATTTCACCAGCTGTAGCCGGTATATTTCCTGGAGCCTCCCAAAACACGACCTTAGAAGAATAAACTAGATTTGTTCTCCGGAATGAATGAGGCATAGAACAAAAGACACGATTAGATGTTGTACTGTGACAGTGTTGCCCAGCTTCTCGATGAGCAGAACCTGATGCTCCGGCAGCAACTTAACTCAGAAATGGACAGTGGCTAAACCGTATCCTGTTAAGGGATGGAAAACTGGGTGCCATGTCTTACACCATTCGTTTTCATCACCACTTCCTCCTCCATTAGAATATACCACTCACAAAGGGAGACCCGCGTTCATTTTAGAAGCACTTCCTAAATTTCGCAAGCAGCAAGGTGATCCAAGAGGAAGCCACAGTTCAGCACAGCAAGAGCTGATTCAGCTTTAAACAAACCAGGTGGTGTGCTAGAAACAGGCTGGTTGCTGGTAATTAATTTTCTAATTAGTGTGGGCACAACTTCAGCCATGTTTGTTGTGCACGTGAATCCTTAATAGCCCGCAGCTTTGGTTCAGGAACTGGGATTCTGCTGCTACCAGGTACAATCTTAAAAAAAATGATATTGATAGTAGTCAACTAAAACCACTTAAAAGAACCTTGCAGAGGGAAGGGGGCTCTCCAGATACCAACCTTGGTCTGAGGAGCGCTTAGTATTCGTCCTCCAGCACTGCCTGAGCATGTCCTGTACCTCTGTCTGTAATCCACACCTCTCCTGTGACAGCGGTGTCCACGAGAAGCAGTAGCTGGATGAATAAACGTATAAGCCAAATTTGGCTGGCCAGGCACCCAGGGAATCGGTTTTAACAGGCTGAATGCTTTGCTCCTGAACATAATTACTCAGATACCAGATGTCTTGTCCAGTGTGCTCAATGTGACACCTGTTAAGGATATGACAAGTTTGGTTTTGGACTAGTATCATCTGCTAGCATCGCTGGACTCTGTTTGGTTTTTTTAGTGGTTTTTTGTTTGTTTGTTTTTTGTTTTTTTTAAGCTGCCTCTCCTCACATGTTCCATTTACGTAAGATTATCTGATTCCATGTATGCATGGAGTCAAATATAACACTGATAATAACGTATGCACACTGATAATAAGTCCTGTTCCTTGCATTGCAGAGAAAACTTTGAAAATATGAAATTACAGTGTGACAAGCGGGGAAATGAAAAGAACCACCAGCAAGTATTAACTTCAGCATCGCTATTTTTCTAAGCTGGCCTGGTTTCTTTTGGGGAGCTTGACTCACTGCTTACTTGCAGATTTGCTGACGGGCACCGCTGTACCATTTTGGACTTTGCCAAATCACCGCAAAACAAGTCTCGTAGCTTTTCCCGGCTCCGTTTTAAATTCAAATATAACACCCTGCGTTACCCGGAACAAATTCCTCCCACTAATTGCTCTGCGGAAGAAAAGGCATTACCTGAACAACCGCCTCAGACTTAACCAGGGCTGGTGTCTTTTCTGACGGTGTCTCTTCCCCAGCCCGACCCCGGAGAGCAGCGGGAGGAGCCGGCAGCTCTGCCCGCCCCCTGCTCGGCACAGCCCCGGTACCGAGCCCTTAACCCCTGCCCGGCCCGCCGCCGGGGCTGCCCCAGTTTCCCCGGGGCCATCCCGGACCCTGTGGATTTTTTTTTTCTAGTGGAAAATACGCTTTTCTCCCTCTCTGCTGCGAGCAAACCTTTCAAATGAGCGTGCGGTGTAGAATAATAGCTGTTCCTCTCGGAAGCACAAAGATGTCCTATCTCAACGGCCGCCTCCGTCCTGAAACGTCCCGGTTTTGCTGCTGATCCCTTCAAGGGAAACATTACAGAATCACAGAATCATATGGGGTTGGAAGACATCATCTC